AAGTGTAATTCCCGTATAAGAAATAATATATATTTTGATACATTTTATTTAATTTCAGGTCATTAATTATTGTGTTGCATACCGTGAAAAAAATCTTAAATAGTTTTGCACCACATCAAAAATACCCCGGGAGCAAAGAAGTGTCTCTCCACTTCTTCAACTGAAGATGAGTAGTATGCGAAACCAAAGTAGCAATAACCAAAAGGAAGAAATAGAGGGATTTGTGAAAGATCGAGAACAATATGACGATCAAAATGGATTTTGCTCCTAATCAAAATCAAGAGAAAGAGGATTGATCGGGATTTTCAAAAGTTTTCTAAAATAATTAGAATATTATAAAATAATGAAACAAAAGGATAAGAGTGACCATCCAGGAGAAAAAAAAAAAGGATAATAATATTGAAACAATATTAAGAGACTTGTTAGTGAAACATGGTCCAATTAGATATAATAATAATAATTGACTACCGTCAATTATCATAGGGATATAGCCAATGTTCATGTGTTTGGAGTCGGCTGAATTTATGTAGTTATTAGACAGTAGACACATATTTGTTCACTTCCATCTAGTTCCAGTAAACCAAGTTGGTGGAAAATGTTTAGAATGTAGCATATGTTGTATGCTACATTATGCATAAAGGAAGATGTTAAGTACGCGACACATATGCTGTATGCACAGTTAATTACCTTTTATGCCATTTACCTGGATGGATGAGCGTTACGAAGTTTGGAATGTAGCATGTAGAGATACTTGGTTTAATGTTTCCTGAAAAGTTGGACCATATCAATATATGGTAAAGTTTATACCTTACCATATATATAATTAAGTATATAGCAGATCAGCTTCTTTTTTTTCCCCTAAATATAGCAGATCAGCTTGAATGAACCATTTCATGGTTATGAATAAATAGCCTTACCTATGCATATTTTGGTTTGGTACAATTATGAATTAATCCTTTTTCTTAAAATGAGTAGGTGTCGGAATAATTACAAGAGTAGAAAGCAATCTAGTTAATAAGCCGAAATATTTTAAAATCCATTCACAATTTGCAGCAAATCTAAAAGATAGACATGCTTTTAATTCATTAATGATGAAAACCATAAATCCAAACTTAGGAGATTTACCAAAAGAAATATAATTAATTGAAAACAAATGGAGCCTAATACATTGCTGTCTTTTAAAATTCTTAAATTAGTCTGTGAAGGATGGTGTTAAGAAAAAAAGTTAAAATTTGACTATTTTTTTAGTAGATGTCAATGTGAGATTCTCTGCCATACAACATTTACTCAACGAATTTCAGCTCACACACGTGGGTTGCAAAGCGTAAGATTCATTAAATGTGATACCACAGTTGTACAGAAATCCCAACTTGTGTCATACTTGTTATGCTGATGGAAAAGAATATAGAACGAAGATGAGAGTGATGAATGAGGCAATTTTTGTCAAAGAAATGCATTTACTTTTCTACCAGTACATGCCAATAATTAATTAGATGGTAATACCATACTATCAATATAACACAAGCATTCCTTACCGGGTTGTTTGTTGTTGGGGTAGTCAGTGATACTCTAGTTGCCCTAGAGTATTCCTCTCTTTAAGTTTCAACAGATGCGTGTATGGCCTTTAATTGGCCACATGTTTTGATTGTATTTGTTTGGGCTATGCCCTCATGGGCTTGTTCAATTATTTGTGTTAGAATATATCGTAGAATATATTATTATTATTATATTGTATAATATATTTTAACCTTGTATCGGATTACCATATATATAGTTACCATATATATATAGGGTTATTTGTTCATCATACATAACCCCTCCTACATAAACCCCTCTTGTATACATCTCATTTACATCAATTCAATATAGAGTTCTATAGTCTCTCTCTTTTTATTTCTAATATGGTATCAGAGCTAAGTTCTCTGTATTCCTAATTTATTTTTTATTTTTATTTTTTCTTTGGAGGTTTCTAATAAGTTCATTAATAAATACATTCTGTTAGGTGTTCGAATTTGATCTTCAGCAAGTCCTTTCGTAATTCAGAGCATACCGAGCGAAAGTTCAGACTTAGATCATCCCAACGCCACTAAAAATAGCTAGAAAAAGGCCTTCATGAGCTACCACGCGCCGTTGCAAGGTTATGCTAATTTACTTTTAAAAAAAAAGTCTACCACGGCATCGTCCAGTTAGCACTGCCCCGTCATCGTCCAGTCAGTACTGCCACGTCAACATGCAGTCAGCACTACCACATCAGCATCGAATCGGCACTGCCACGTCATCGTCCAGTCATTACTGACACGGCAACATCCAGTCATTACTGCCACGTCAGCAGTGCCACGTCAGTATTGCCACGCCAGCATTCTGCTATGTCAGTGTTTTGCCATGTCAGCAGTGTCAGAACTTTTTTTTCTTTCTAAAAACACTTATCCAGCCCAGTTTTTCACGCTGATTCCGAATTTGTAGTCCATTTTTGCATTTGGAATTTCTTAATGGCATAAAATGGGATTATTCCTCTTATTCAAGCTGTTCTGAAAGAACTTGACCAAAGGAGGACATACTTGGAGCCTCCTACAGTGGCTTTTCAGTCGATATCTTCTCATCAAAACGGACGACACAACCGCTGTGATCACTCTCTTTATTGCACTTTTTGTCGGATTTAAGGACATTCTTTTCAGGAGTGTTGCACTCGTGCTAGACTGACTTCACCTACTCTAATTATAGCTACCTCTCGCATTATGCCACTACAGTCACGGGCTCCTACTCCAGTACCCGTGTCTAGCACTCCTAGCAAGTCTTCATCTTTCTCATCTGGAACTAACCTTGAGGCAATCATCAATTAGGTTTTGACTAAAATACAAGATGCATCTTCCCATTATCTTTCTACCACAATAGGTAAGAATAGATGTTGGTATTTTGATTTTGCTTGCCGTAATCACATGACATCCGATTCCACTGTTCTTACCACTGAAACTTCTACACCTCACTTACCTGTCATTGATACAGCCGATGGATCTACCATGAACATTAGTCATACAGGGACTGTTTCTCTCTCCCAATTATCCGTTCTTAATGTGTTTCTTATCCCAAAACTTTCTCTTAATCACTTATCAGTTGGTCAATTAACTGAGTTAGGCTTCACCATAACCTTTTCTTTTAATGGTTGTGTTGTATAGGATCCTCGGACTGGACAGATTTTTGGGACCGGGCGTACAGTTGGTCGATTGTTCGAACTCTCATCTCTTCATCTGCCAACTCCCACCATGTCTACTCCCATCATCTCCGCTGTATGGCATTCCTGCTTAGGTCATGTTTCCTTACCTCACGTCAAAACTTTAGTCTCTAAAGTCTTGTTAGGTCAAGTTAAACCTAAGAATTTTGATTGTATTTCATGTCAGCTCGGAAACAACTTGCATTACCTTTTAGTATAAGTGAATCATGTGCGTCTACTCCTTTTGACCTTATTCATTCTGATGTATAGGGTCCTTTAGTGTCTACTATGGGGGGATCATGGTATTTTGTGATTTTTGTTGATGATTTTTCACGGTTCCCATGGATATTTTTTATGAAAACCATTCTGAGTTATTTGACATATATCGTGATTTTGTAAAAATGATTTTAACTCAATTTTCTAAAAATATCAAAAATTTTCGTTCTGACAATGCTATGGAATATTAACAAAATGCATTTTTTTCAAATTCTCAAACATTATGGCACTGTTTCTCACTCATCCTGTCCTAGCACACCACAATAGAATGGTAGAGCTGAGCGCAAACTTCAACATATTCTGGACACGGTTCGCTCACTCACACTTTATGCTTTTATTCCTGCTTCTTTTTGGGGGGAAACAACTCTTACTGCTGTATACACTATCAATCGTGTACCATCACCTCTCTTGCATAACCAAACACTATATGAGTGTCTATTCGGCAAACCACCTGACTACAATCATCTTAGAGTTTTTGGGTGTGCTTGTTTTGTTTTTCTCCAACCCCACGAACACACAAAATTACAACCATGTGCATGACTTTGTTGCTTTCTTGGGTACGAAATTGGACAAAAAGGGTATCGGTGTTATGATCCAATTGATAAACAACTCAGAGTCTCTCGTCATGTAGTCTTCTGGGAATACAAGATGTTTCATACACTGTCCAAATTTAATGTCTCTGAAAATGCATTTCATATTCCTCCATTAACATATTCTGCAAATCTTTTTCCTGATTCTCACCTTTCAGAATCATCAGAGATAATTGATCCTCCTTCGATCGAGTACCAGCCATTTGCCCAATCAGAGACTTATTCGATCGAGTCCTAGCCATCTGGCCAATACGAGGTTCTTGTCAGCACAAATATTTTAAATCCTCGCCCTCATTCCACTAGGGTAAGAGCTCCACCTGCACATCTTAATGATTTTTATTACTATCATGCCCTTGCAACCTTACATGAACCTCACACTTTTCGTGAGGCCTCTTCTAACCCTTTGTGGCAGCAAGTAATGAAAGAGGTGTTAGATGCATTAACCAAAACTTATCCATGGGATCTGGTTGATTTGCCTCCTTCAAAGTCTGCAGTATGATGTAAATGGGTATATAAGATCAAAACTCATTCAGATGGGTCTGTTGAGCACTACAAGGCTCGACTTGTGGCCATGTGATTCACATAGGAATATAGCATTGATTTTGAGGAGACGTTTGCTCTGTTGCACGTCTTCCTTCTGTTCTCATTCTTATTGCTGTGGCTACTTCCCGTCATTGGGGACTTTTTCAGATGGATGTTAAGAACGCATTTCTTAATGGAGATTTACTTGAGAAAGTTTACATGAAGCCTCCTCCAGGTAATCATCATCCTCCTAATAAGGTATGTCGACTCCGAAAGGCTCTCTACGACCTCAAACAGGCACCTCGAGCTTGGTTTGCTAAATTTAGCCAGGCTATTATGACTTAGCTCTATTCATCCAATGCACTAATCGATGTGTTATTTTTCTTCTATTTTACGTTGATGATATGATCATCACTGGAGATGATTTGACGGGAATTTGGGAGCTCAAAAAGCTTCTTAGTTGTCAGTTTGAGATGAAAGATCTTGGACCCCTCAATTATTTTCTTGGTCTTGAGATCACTGCAGCTACAGATGGTTACTATCTCACTCAAGCAAAATGCATATCAGATCTTCTTTCAAAATCAGGCTTATTTGACAGTAAGATTATTGATACACCACTTGAGCACAGCACAAGACTTAATCTACATTATGGTAAATCTCTTCGAGATGGTATATTGTATCGACAGTTGGTTGGCAGTTTAGTTTATCTCACTGCCACCCTTCCAGACATCTCCAATGCTGTTCACATAGTTAGTCAGTTCATGGCTGCTCCTAGATCTACTCATTTTGCTGCAGTTATTAGCATCTTTCGCTATCTCAAAGGCACTAAGTTTTATGGGCTTTATTTTTCTTCTCAATTGCCATGTCGTTCCATAACAGGCTATTATTTCTGTCTCAGTGATTTACTTATCTCTTGGCGCAGCAAGAATAAACTGTGGTTGCTCGATCTAGCACAGAAGTCGAATATAGGGCACTTGTTGATACTATGTTTGAGATTCTGTGGTTACGTTGGCTCCTTTAGGACATGAGAGTTTCTTCATCCATTTCTACTCCTATCTATTGTGATAATAGAAGTGCAATTCAAATTGTGCACAGTGATGTTTTTCACGAGCGTACCAAATGTGATACCCCTCAATTCCGAAGCACAAGTTGATTAAACAATTAAAGCATTTAAACGAACACAGATACAAAATGAAATAAGAATAAATAAATAAATAAAGCTGAAAAGAAAACTAAATAATGAATCCTCAAATTAATTATAATCCGGTAAAAATAATCCTCTAATATAATCTGAATCCTCTGATACTAGTAACCATTTAGATTATAACTCGGGAATCCATAATGCAGACCTCTAATAATCCCAATAGATAATCAAAATAATGAAATCCAAATACTAAAACATAGTGAGGAATCCTACGTAAAATCGGAAGAATGAAGTAGACTATCTCTGCTCAGCACGAACAACCTCTAAGTCTAGAATTGTCGAACACTTGAAAAATAATAGTGAGTCAGGCCCACAAACAAGTTCTAATCTATTACATCCCAAACAAAGACTAGATACATATATACATCCTAGTCAACTCAACAATAACTAAGTAGTCCATATATATATATATATATATACACACACACACACTAAGGGACTCTTACGGGCTACAAGGCAGCCTCAACCTGAATAGTAGGCAACATGCAAAATGCATTTGAAGTGGGCATGAGTACCTAAACCTAACAGAGTACACCACTAATCATCATAGCCAGCTATGCATCCTATTGCATGTATGCTCCCTAACCACTGATTCTGAGACTCAAGCTCATATCATGACACATATCTATACATATATAAAATCCATCTTATCCAATCATGAAACTAAAACTATCCAATCATAACGTTAAATGGCATGTCTCCAACTGGTTCCGTTAACCTGACATAAATAAGTAGGACTTAACTTTTTTCATTAATCCATTCCCTTATATAAGAATAGGTAGGACTTAACTTTTTCGTTAATCCGTCCCTAATATGCCCCTATATTATTTTAATGGTGCATTAATCCAAACAATCCCTATTGATGCAACATAAAAAAATTAAACATAAAAAAAATCTAGAATGAAACATAATCAAAATCAATTAATTACATGATCATATTATACTATTAATATATGACAAAAATCATATAAACATCATTAAGATTGCTAGATTTAATTTAACCAATTAAATCCTCTATTAACAACATGTAAATAAATTTAAAATTATATATTGTTCAAACCTTTAGCATATTAATATAAATCATGTTTCCCAAACCTTATTGAGTCTATTTTAAAACAATGTAAACAATTAAAACAGATCAATCTTCATCCAAACAACATACAGTTTGTAAAAATCCCCAAAACACATCCCAGGGCAACTGAAACAACAAACCGGTCATCCGGTTAACATCCAATTCGGTCGTCCGAAATGACTACTTCGATCATCCGGTTCTACAAATCGGTCAACCGATGCATGCGTCAGTTCATCATTTTCTTCTCCAACGAACTCTGCTCATACAAACCTTCATTGATGAAAGTTCTAAGCATCTAATCTATGTCCAGAGTATCCCAACATAAATTTTAAAGCATATAAACATGATTTCTACATTATAGAACTTAATTCACGTATCAAATTATCAAGACATGCAAGAAACTCTCCAAACCCATTAGTATATAAACATGTTCTGTAAATTTGATTTTAAACATGCAAAACAAGTTTATTAATTTAATTTAAACATCCTGGAATTAATCTAGGCATGTATAGAACACAAGTCAAAGGAGAAGAATATAAATACTTCCCTTATGTGTGACGGACTGTTAAATACATTAACGGACTTGTCAAAATTACTGAAATACCCTCTTTTTGGCATCTGAAATTACCAAACTACCCATCTGAAACTCTTGGCTCTCTACAATGCTGACGTTTGCTTTGGTTGGGGAGGCTTGAAGATTTGCGAATGGTCTGGAAAAGATTTGCGAATTTGCAGAGGTTGCAAATTCTTTATCTCTCTACTAGATTTTAACAGATTTACTCTACAAGATTTCAACAGATTTAGAAAATTTGCAGAGGTTGCAAATTCTTTCTCTCTCTACAAGATTTAGTTCATTCTCTTTCTCTCTCTACAATTAGTCTCTCTTCTACCTTTCTCTTCTCATCTTTCTTTCTCTACCTGTGTTTGGGTTTTTGCCGCTGATTGAGGACTAAATGTGCATATATACAGAGAGAAATTTACCAAAATAAAAATAAATATACAGAGAGAAATATACCAAAATAAAAATAAATATACAAAGAGAATTTACCAAAATAATAAATATATATATTAAGAAAGAAAGAGGACTAAACGAAGATCATACATGAGGCTTGTGCATATATTAGCGTGTGTGCATATATACAGAGAAGGAAAAAGTAATAACTTGGAATTGTTTCAATATCGAGTCTTTGGGATTTTGTGATTTTCGAGGATTTTCTAGATCAGAACTTGATTTTGGAGGATTTAGTAGTTTTGTTTGATGCAAAAATCTGCACAGTCCAGAGCGGGGATGTTTCCTGCAAGACAAGAGAGAAGTGACGACCGACGTGGTGCCAGCCGGGTGTATTCCGATGGTCAAGTTAGTAATTGATGATTAAATATCCTAGTAAGGATTAAATATGAAATTAATGGTGTACCTTTTGAGTTGTCTAACCTCTCTTTTATAGGAGAGTTTTGATAGTAGTATCCACATAGGGAATTGGTTCCCTTTACTTTTCCACCAAGGACTAGAAGAGTTACTCCACGGAAGTCACTGTTATCCTATCTATGTGTAGTATATCCAAACTTCTTGGGCTTTTGCGTCGGCTAGACTTCTACTTGGGCTAATATTCCCCATCAGTTGCCCCTCATTCCCGTATTTGCCTGTCAAACTTAGGGAATGTGAGTCATTTCCATCCTTGCTTTATTTTCAACCTTAATGTTGTGTTTTTGCATAAGCACAGTTCAAAGTAATATAGAGAGATATAGTAGTGGCAGTTTAGCCATGCTTTCAATCAATTTCTTTGTGGGCTTCGAAGATACTACTTGTTGATGTGTGTTTTCGAGCAATGTTGGGAACTTCTTTTTTCCCTCAAACAAAGTTTTCTTATTTGCATGCACATATATGTATGTAAATACACAATATGTAGAGAAAAAAAATAAAGGCATTGAGGTATTGAAAATATAATGTAGTAAATGGTTTTACTTATATATTTTAAAGATCATATTCTGCCCCCGACCAATGTGCATGTATTACTCAAGTAGTGTGCCTGACTTGACATTGGCCTTAGCACACCATTTTTTTTTCTTTGAGATTCTTTGGTCTAGCTCCGTTATCTCCACCCCTATAGTAGGGGAGTAGGTGTCTTACCTCCTTTAATAAGGGAGATGATTTTCACCCCTTAAACAAGAGAAAGGTAATCTCACCTTTTTAATAAGGGAGGTAGTCATCTTGTCATTTTGTAAAGGAAAGAAAGTATAATTGTCTAACCCTTCTATGTGAAGGGAGTAGTCGTTCTCTCGTCCCTTTAATGAGCTTATTTAGCTCGGGCTATTTTGATTTCAGCCCTTTTAATATGGGGACGATAATTACATGCTTTATTTTAACTCGGGTCCTTATAGTACATGACACTTTGATTTCGACCCCTTTTAATATGAGGGACGACAATTACGAGCTTCATTCAGTTCGAACCCTTATAGTACGGGGCACTTTGATTTTGACTCATTTTAATACGGGGGACGACAATTACGAGCTTCATTCAGCTTGGACCCTTATAGTACGGGGCACTTTGATTTCGACCCCTTTTAATATGGGGACGATAATTACGAGCTTTATTCAGCTCGGGCTCTTATAGTACAGGGCACTTTGATTTCGACCCCTTTTAATACGAGGGACGACAATTACGAGCTTCATTCAACTCGGGCCCTTATAGTACGGGCACTTTGATGTCGACCCCTTTTAATACTAGGGACGACAATTATGAGCTTCATTCAGGTCGGGCCCTTATAGTACGAGGCACTTCGATTTCGACCCCTTTAACATGGGGGACCACACTTACGAACTTCGTTCAGCTTGGATCCTTATAGTACAGGGCACTTTGATTTCGACTTCTTTTAATACGGGGGATGACAATTACGAGCTTCATTTAGCTTGGGCCCTTATAGTATAGGGCACTTTGATAAGAAGGAGCTCCTTTAGTAGGAGCAGTAATTGTTCCAAATTTTACTTTACTGCCCCTTCGGGAAATCGAAGATACACGTTATCTGTTGGAAAACGATTCTAGGAGTGGAAGCTTAAAATGGCTTCTTATTGGTCATTACAAATTAATTAGAGAGAGGAACAAGAATTTATACCTTCTTTGCTTGAAAACTTTATGCTTGATACATCTATTGTTGCAATCTAGAGCCAAGTCTGTAGTGCACTACACAAGTGCAAATATCATGCAGGTGTCTGTAAAATCCACTGTTCCGGTAACATACATGCTGGTTGAAGGATCAAAAGATGCTTCAGCTTGAATGACTCGTGCTCATAGATATGAATAAGAAACTCAGTAAGAGTGAAGCACCAAGTTTGGATACAAGCTTCTGCAGATTGAGAGTGATGATAGAAGTTTTCACTAATAATTTTTTAGACCAAATGACGAACATGGTCTCTTCTTATCTGAAGAATGCACAGGACCTGTTCTTGTTTGTTGCTCTCAGACCTCTTGGTTGTGCTCACTATATGTGTACGCAAGTATATATATAGATCTCTACTGATCTAGGCGTGAACAGAGGGATGATACTGAGCTTTCCGATCTGGTCTTTTATGGAGTTTCAGTTCGGTTCAAATAGCTTCAGTTCGAAGATTGCGGGAACTATTGGACCCCTTAAAGAAGCTTGCCAGATCTCGGGACTGTTGTTAAACCAAGAAAAGATGGTAACTGAAGCTCACCGGGACTGGAACTAAAGCTCATCGAAATTTCATTTTGGCACACAGCTTGGTCTTTAAATGT